TTGTTGTTTTTTTAAATTTAAATTAATATTTTTTCTATAATTTTACTATTTTTTTGAAGGGAAAATCTGTAAAATAACAAAAAAGTAAAGAGTTTCTTTTAAAAACTGGAGTTAAAATAAAATAAAAATATAAACTTTTTGAGGTCGACATTTTCACGATTTTCTTCTTTTTTTAAAACATTAACATTTAAATTGATCCTTTTTCTGTGATTTTATTAGATATTGTTTGTAATTTTTTTAAAAGGAAAGTCTGTAAAATAACAATAAAAATATATAGTTTGTTTTAAAAACTGCCTTTAAAATAAAAATAAAATATGAATATAAATATATATATTTAACATTGCAGAAAACTTCACCGTCCTTCACCACAAACCAACGTGAACCTTTCAGATGTATTTCTGTCTGACTGGCTGCAGGTCAGCGGGTCCACGTTGGGCTCAGCTTGGTGAGGATCCGTCCGACCTGGTTCTGTTCTGGACGGTTCAGTCCAGCGTTCGTCTGTGACCTCCGTCTGCTCGCTGCTGGTTTCAGGCCGGAGCTCCTGCAGACCTTCACTGTTCTGCTGTTGTGTTCTCGGTGAACCCGGAGTTCTGGTCTGCAGTGAGAACCAGAGTCTGTGGATTCCTGCTGGTGTGTGTGTGTGTGTGTGTGTGTGTGTGTGTGTCTGTGTGTGTGTGTGTGTGTGTGTGTGAGAGAGAGAGGGAGCGAGGCAGAGGGCGAGCGAGCTCTGGGTTGCGTTGAATGTCAGGAATGTTGAGGCTTTTGGCTTCGCTTGGCTCTGACGGAGGAGGAGGAGGAACCAGAGAACAACTCAGGAAAGCAGTCGTAATAACTTCATTTATGCAGAAGCTGATGGAACACACAGAGCTCTCCATGTGCTGCAGACAGCAGGGAGACAGACAGGAAGTAGCAGCACACGGACTTTCAGAGTAAAACTAGAAGGTTTGAGGAGAACATGTGAGCAGCTTCATGTCCTGATGACACATGAGATCTAGTCTGTGTTTGAGCAGCCAGCAGCCTGATCTGAACGTCTCTGAGCTTTTACTTTGAAAGGGTCTCAATGAGCCAATCAGCTGTGAGTCCCGGCGGCTGCAGGGAGCAGAGCCGACGGAGGACGAACAAACCGTCACAGATCTGGAACGAAGAGTCGGATCAGAATGAAGTGAAAGAATAAAACTGATTCATAAAAAAAATGTAAATAAATGTCAAAAAAAAATTAAACAATATATTTAAAACAACAGAACCACTCTGTCCTGGTTGACTCCTGGTCCTGCAGAACCTCCGGTCCTGGATCAGCATCCTGATTCCTCTGATGACCCACTTCTTTATCAAACCGGTCCCACATCTGCTCCACGTTCAGACCCTGCTGAAAACATCAAAAACACATCAAAATAAAAGCCCGAAGGACCGATTTTACTTTATTTTCTTCTGAAAACATCAGAAACCCATCAAAATAAAAGCCCAACAGCATGATTTCACTTTATTTCTTACGAAAATGTTGAGAACACGTCAAAATAACTGCCCGACAGAGGGATTTTACTTTATTTTCTCTTAAAAAAGCATCAAAATAAAAGCCCAACAGCATGATTTTACTTTATTTTCTGCTGAAAATGTCAAAAACACGTCAAAATAAAAGCCAGAAGGAGGGATTTTACTTTATTTTGTCTTGAAACTGTCAAAAACATGCCAAAATAAAAGCCCAACAGCGTGATTTTACTTTATTTTCTGCTGAAAACATCAAAAACCGACACAAAGACGCGACAACAACAACAGTCTAAAGCTGTGGATGAACCTGGTGCAGATCATTTCTGTTAAAACGCTGCGTTATGTTGGAGAGCAGATAATTCAGGATGAGCCTGAGCTCATCTGGATCCTCCTCAGAGGTTCCTTCTGACTGTAACTGAACCTCAGAGGTCACAGATGAGCAGAAACCAGGACCAGCTTCACTCTGAACTCCTCTCAGAGCCGCTCCAGCTCCATAAATCTGCTCCACCAGCGGTTTGAATCCTGGAACAAAGGTCCCACTGTGACTTCCTGTCTCTTCCTGCTCAGTGAACCGGCTGGTCTCGGCTGCAGGACCGTCTCCTGGGTTCTGCCGCTCTCCGGGTCGTGTTCTGGCCGGGCTCTTTGTCTGCCTGGGCCCTGATCTCCTCCACCACCGTCTCTGTGCTCGGCATGTTTTTTCCCTTCGCTCCGGTCATGTGATCGCGCTGCAGAGATGAGCAACGGTGCAGGAATCTGAGCGGCGGCCAGCTCATTACATAAAGTCCCCGAGCAGCCAGAGCGCCGAGCGAGCAGCCAGCGGCCCAGTGGATGAACTCACTTCCTGAAGGCCGCAACCGCCGCCGGAGGCTCGAGGCGAGGAACAAACACAACGGCTGGTTCTGGGCTCGTGTTCTGGAGCGGCTTGGTTCAGCCTGGTGTCGTTTGGTCCAGAGTTAAAAACAACACAAAGAGAAGAAAAAGGAAAAATCTGTAGAAGAAGAAAAACATGTTGAAGACGTTGGAAAGCTGCAGAACATCTGGAACCAGGACAGGCTTCAATCTGAGGTCCAACATGACAACAGGAAGACCTGATAAATATGATTAATGCTACAGAGGAAATGTAAAGTATTCGTTTATTTATTTTATCATCTGTAAATAAATTAAAACTAGAAAAAAATCTGTTTTTAAAAAGGTCTATTTATTGACTCCTTCATAAACATGAAATAAATAAAATGTTTCTCACATTTGTTTAAATTAACAGATTAAAACTCAGTCCAGAAAAAGCTCAAATGTTCTAAAATAATAATAATTAACATCTGAAAATAATAATAATAATAATAATAATATATTTAATAATAATATATGTGATATATTTTATTTTATTTTCTGTAGTGAAAATGTAAATTACTGCTTTTATTTTTCTATTATCTATGATTTAACAAACTTCCTCCTCCTCCTCTTCTCCCTCCTCCTCCTGCTCCTCCTCCTGCTCCTCTTCCTCCTCCTCCTTCTTCTCCCTCCTCCTCCT